AATTTGGTCACCTAGTACCAGCACACAAATTAGTAAATTGGAAAAAAATACAATATAAACTCTCCAAGCACATTTATATCTTTTGCAGCGAAGGCGAGCTAGTATGAGCATTGAAGAAATCTATGTTAAAGATTAAGAAGCTAGAAACGCGGAGGGAGGAATCGGACCTAGTCCTCTTTATAAAATCATTAACAGTCAAATCGATTCCCCGGAAATCCTGGAACAATTTTGACTAGTTTGTAATAAACCTGGCTTAAGATCTAAAAGGATATTAGGTACAATAAGAAGAGCAAAAAATTATTTGCTACGAACCAAGGAATCGAATAGCTAATACATACTACGTTTATACGCACGTATTATTTGCAAATAACAATTTGCAAAATGGCAAACTTGTCCGTATAAACGCTGAGTTAATTTTTTATTTGCAAATAACCAAATCACGCAAATAAGTATTGATTAGTGGTACTATTTGCAAATAAGCACAAGACGCCGCCATTCTTCGGTTTATTTTCTTTTTCGATGGTCGTCTTATTGTGTTTTTATAATCAGACAATATTAAATAAGAATTTTTCACCGTCGAATAAACACCATATCCCTGCACCATACAAGGGATATCCCTATAATTATTATTTTTGTACTTTGTTTAAACGAAGGGTTTTGAACTTCAGTTCAATTTGTACGTGAATACTAGCCTTATGTTTGTCAATCATCTGGCATCACCAAAAGGAAAGTTAACCAACACAAATAAAACAAACAAACTAGGCAGCACTGAAAACGCGTCCTGTGAAATTGCCGTCCTTTGGCAATGTTTAAATTTAAGGATTTCAGCGAGCTAGTGTAGGAATGGAGAATGAAATGAAAAAGGAATATAGGTTTTAATTATTAAAAAAAAAACAATAATTGCAATTAGAACTCAGATCATTTTCCATTTCAATATGGTAATCACTTCGTGAACACTTGCTATACTTGGCAATTAAAGCCGGCCTTGGCAGCACTAGGACAAGCAATTTCATCAAAATTCCACACATTACAGAATAGTAAAAATACCAACAACACACCAAAAAATGCAAATAGTACAAACAAAAAAACTAAAAACAGAAAAGTACATTGAAAGCCAAATATTCGCAGAAGGGGGCTTGGCAAGTTGGCTAATGAAAAGCACCTGGGTATTATGAAAATGCCAAGCAGATACCGCTACCAACAGCATAATCACGCAGCAAGCACACACACAGCTACAAACCCACAGGCATACACAAGCAAGTACAAATCCTCTGGTAGTAGTTAATTAATGGGATTAATTGAAAAAATGTAAACAAAATAACAAAGTAAAAGCTTTACAGCCCATCCGACTGCTGGGAACTCTACACAATAGATAAACGCTCACTTCCCCCACAAGTGGAAAGCGTAAACCCTTTGCAGCTCACCAACTAAATGGTACGCGCAATAGATTGGCTATAAATCGATTAAATTTAAACTGTTTCTTACACTAATTGTATTTTCTTTACGAACAAACGGTGTAGACGTTAAGAACTGCATGTACACAGGTAAATATCGTTGTGAAAATTATTGAAAAAAAAAGATTAAAATAGTACAAAAACGACTCACCAATCAATGTCAACCTCTGGTTATTTGCATCGTTTATTTTCACTTTGTTAACACAACATTTTTATGCACATACAGTCTCATTAGGGAATTGTACTTGATTCGGGTTAAATACGACTATTTCGCAATAATTTTTCTCGAGGAAAACTGCCAAATTTATAACAAAATTGCACAGCACAATAGAGTACGTGACCACAGCGAAAAAACGACCACATTCACAATGGCTATCGGCGCTGCACACATATGTCCAAACAAATTTATAAAAAAAAGTTTTCCCAATTCACGGTAGCACAACATGGCAAGAGCAACAAAAACACCACGTTGTGTGAAGCAGCCAATGCAGCAGCAGCGGTACAGCACGCACCGCGGCAGAGCAGAGGACAATCGTTTTCGATCGTTTACGTTCGGAGACTCCTTTTACCAACTATTGTGACTTTTACAAACGATTTTCACACTGAAATTCATGCTAATTCTAGTACATAATCACATTTTCATTGATCAAATTGGCAAGATTATTAAACTTTGTTGCTTGCATAACACTTACAATGCGAGTTTGTTGAAAATTACGATGAGATCCAGCGCTACTATGTAAACACAGCAGCACACTTTTATGTGTTCATTGCCTTGTACTGCTTCACACACGAATGCATTCCAAAAGCTAGCAGCAGCTAATCAGTAAATTCAGCGTCAGCGTTGCAATGCACAATGTTTGTGTGTGAAAATTTTCTCACAAATCTTTCAGTACGAAAAGTATCGCTTGCTTATTAATTGTTTATTAATTTAATTTTTTTTTTTAAATACTTGAATGTCTATAAACACAAATCAATTTTCGCTGCTAACTTGCACCGCTGCAAAGGTGTTGAAAAATATTCGAAAGGGTTAGGAAAAATTCACAATAGTTGCTTATCAGAAATTGTACTGAATGCAACCCTGTGCTAGTAAAATGTGGTTCACATCAGCGCCAACTTTGGTACTCGGGTTAGGCAAGATAGGGTTTTCGAAAGTAATTGGTATTGCTTAAGTTATTTGATGATAAGCCGATAAGTCTAAAAGAAATATTTACTTTTTGTAAAACTGCTGTTTGAAAAAAAAAATTTAAAGAGGCCATTATTGTGATCGTTAGACGGAAAACAGCTCGTTTGTTAGAATAAGGACCAAATTTCCCGGCATGGTATTTTTTTTTTCTATTATTGACTATTACTATGATGGAAAAAAAACAGACAAATAAATAACTAAGGAGGTTTCATTCCGAGTTTATCAAGAGCTAGCACGGAGGATACTAAGTTCTTTAATATTTTTCATTAAAAGTAATACCCTTGAGTTAGCTTTTACCATTTCCTTTGAACATGTCCAACAGAAGAATCATACACAACACAATTTTTTGCTTATATAGCAACCATTTTATTTCATTTATTTAATAAGTATCTCATGCGATAAACAGTAAAGAATATAACTATTCGTTTTTGAACTTTTCTTACAATGAACAACAATTTATATACGAATGTCTCGAAGTATGGATGTATGTATGTACGTTTTTATACTTTAAAATGTCTGCAACATGTGAATTTGCCTAACTTTATTTTTTCTATAGTTTTCCTTATTTTACTTCATACAATAAATTTCATGAACGCAGTGATTTCTACATTTTCTGAGTATTAATATTTATATGTGTTTTATTTTAAATATATCAATTTTTAAATACACATACGTTTTTAATGGAATGATGTAAACATCCTTTCGTATATTTTTCTTAAATATGGTATGTATGTATGTATGTACATACATATTATATGTATATTTTATTGTAAACTCATTTGATTGTGTAAATTCCCTAAACGATTTGCAGCAACCCAAGGTGCTTTGATCATTCTTTGAAGTTTTTTATTCAGGATTTTGCTTCAACATATTACGAAAAAAACATGATATAGGGAGAAGCATTTTTACAGTTTTTTTCAGATTAAAACTTAAAAAAAAAACTTTTTTTTTGCAATACCTTTTTTTCTAATAGCAGTAATAAATTGAAAGTAACGATATTATATTGGTTAACTTATTTTCGTTGCTTACTAAGTTAAAGTAATTTCTATTAAGAATTTTCAATTTCTTCTTAAAGCTTTGTTATTGTTAAACGTCAAATATTACATGTATTTTCAATACATGTTTTCCAGCGGGAGAGTTTTTCTCTTAATATTTTGCATTTTTGACTCACTTTTGTAATAAACCTATTTTCAATTTATGCATTTCGTTTGATTCCCCAAATATTCCTCAAACTTTTGCCTTTTTATTTGTATTAAGTGTTATTTTACATATTGCATATACATACACATATTGTTTATGTTCTTATTTCCATTTCGCTTTTGCATGACATTCAAAAAGTATTTACCTAACCAACTTTCAATATGATTTACGTGCTTCTCATTTAAGTACGCCCAATACAAAACAGATCTTCTCGTAACTTTTTTTTTAATTTTAGTTACATGTTCTTTTATAAACGATAGATTTATTATATATATGCAATATTCAACTTAAATTAAGGTACATATGTATATACTTTTCTTTAAATTATTTTATAATAGCAGCATTCGTTATAAAAATTTCCGCCTTTTTGTATGTAAATCGATTCATTGGAATGTATTCAATAAGCATGTAGCATCTTCCGTTTAGTTGTCCAGCTATTCGTATTTGCACTTATTTGCTGGTCACAAGATTCAAGAACTCCTCCCTAGTCTTGGGATCGTCACGAAAGACACCCAACATGGTTGAGGTAACAGTTTTGCTGTTGATTTTCTGCACACCACGCATAACCATGCACATGTGACTGAAAATAAGTGAATAAAATCAAATATATAGTTATAAGAGCGTGCATATTAATAACATGATTAACAATAAAATGTTGATGTATTGGCAATAAAATAATAATTATAATAGTAAATGACTTAAAACTTACACTCCTTCTATAATGACAGCAACACCAGCCGGTTGTACAGCCTGTGTGACGGCGACAGCAATTTGCTTAGTCAAGCGCTCCTGCACTTGCAGACGGCGTGAAAAGATCTCCACAATTCTGAAAGAAGAAAAAAACCAAAAATAATTGTAAGTTATGTATATGAATATTTTTATATACATACATATGTACATAAAACATTATTTAATTATTTTTGATTTACACACCTTGCCAACTTGCTGAGTCCCAATATCTTATTGCATGGCAAATAGCCGATGGAAACTTTTCCATAGAATGGTACCATATGATGTTCGCACATAGAGAACATTTCAATGTCCTTAACGACAACCATTTCATCGTGATCCTCATCGAAGACAGCGCCGTTGAGAACATCTTAGAGCAAGAAAAATAATAATTATTAATATACATACATACTTGCATACAAATGGAGTGAGAGTGCGAATAAATAACACAATATCATGAATTTTTGTATTTAAGACTATAGAAGTTTATAATTTGTTATGAAAAATAACTATGCATACTAAACATAAAGTAAAATTTTATAAAAAAGAGATAATAAAGAAATCTACCATTGACCCCGACGTGATTTGAACACGCAACCTTCTGATCTGGAGTCAGACGCGCTACCGTTGCGCCACGGAGTCATGTGTCCGGACTTGAGCAAATGCACTACATAAGCACGTGCATGCTACCCCTCACCAACAAACACATCGCCAGAGAACGTAAAGTAGGTATAAATTACGTAAAGTATAAATTTACGTTCTCTGACATCGTTGTGACCATTCCCAATAGTATGTTTTCATTTTTTATTACAAAAAGTAAAATCTACAATTTACATATTTAGTCCTTTTCGCGAAATTATGGTATACACTAAATTTTACAGGGGGAGCGTTTTTCTCTAATTTTCTGTGCTAAAGCTTGCAATGTCAAAAACAAAATTTTGCATGTGATAATTAACTAATAAGTATAATCGAACTAATTTCTTATTTTTTTAATTTTGTATGGCATATTTTTTTAGTTAAACGTTAGCTGCAATTTGAAGTTAGTGATTGATTAGACTTATCAAAAATCGTGCCACCATGGCTTCAGCAATAGAACCCATATATATAACACCGCATTATACTTATTTTGGTGCCAATTTGAATATTTTTGATATCCTAATACATGCATATGTAATTGTTGAACTTGAATGAAATTTGTAAAAAGCTACTGATTTGCGAAGAAATATTTCCGGCTCCTATGTGCGGCCTACGCATCAAAATACTCTCAACTAAAAATAAGGTATGCGTTTTGTGACAACAACCACAAAAAAAAATTATTTACACATTCCTGAGTTTCGCCCGAAAAAAAAATCACCCGAATATTTTTCATCCGCCCATAGTAAATACATGGAAACGAAAAATGAAAAGTGAACCGGTTCGGGGAAAATGAAACTCATCATAAGGCTGATTATAAACAGGGACGTGAACCGGATTAATCGCTTTTTTACTAATTAACTGAACCATTAACTGAACCGAATTTTTTTATAAATGTTTGATCGGAACCACTTTTTATAAATACTTAACGTGTGTTAAAACTAATAAAATAATCATTATTTGTGATCAAAAAAAATTAAAATAAAATAAAAATTATTTCCGTTGAGCGAAAAAATAAAACTGAGCAGTAATAATTGTTTTTAAGCGAAAAAAATTAAAATCATAAAATAATGATCAAATGCTGATTTAAATTATTTTACTCATAATGATTACCTCCCTGTTTTTTTTTTTAATTCCCGATAATCGAAACCAATCCAAAGGTTCAAAACCGTTTCGAACCGCGACCAAATTTTTTGTCCGGTTCATATCCCTGATTATAAAAAAAATGTCAGCCTTATCATGAGTTTCAGTAAAAAGTGTACATATTCATGTTCAAAATTAAAAAAATAAAACAAATCCAATCGACTTGACCCCGACGTGATTTGAACACGCAACCTTCTGATCTGGAGTCAGACGCGCTACCGTTGCGCCACGGAGTCATATAGTTACACGAGCGCAAATGACGCTTTCAAACACAAGCACTGAGTCAATAGATAAAAACCTCAGTCAACAAAATAAGCAAGAGAACAAGAGAGTAAGGAAAATATGCTTTTTGACATTGAACTTGTGCTGCAGAAAGCTTAAGTGCGAAAAGCTTTTACTCTTCAAGAGAGTAAGAGAAAAAATGCAAGCATCGTAAGAGAATGTAGCAAATTTGCAATCTGTGTACGTGCAAGTTTGTAAAAATATATTTTTCTCAAAATTTCTATAGTACAAAAACTTTAAGCGCAGCAATTTTGGCCAAATGTCAAAAGAAACAAAAAAATAATGTGTGAAATTGAAAATCTTTAAATAGAAATCTTTGGAAGAAAATGTGGCTAGCAAATGCGTTTTAAATTTTGTTGTGGTATAAATTTCGATGTAAATTTTTAATTTCGTAATTGACGTAACCGAAATGTATTGAAACTTAAAATATTTGGTTAAAAAGTAAAAGCGATGAATAAAAAGTTATGCTAAAATTGCTTAGAGATTATCATATTTATTTAAAGATTCTTAATTTGCTTTTTACTGTAATAAAATATAAAATATGAATTAAATTTTTATTTTAGTAATAACTTTTCTAGCATTAAGAAATTTACTTTCTAATTGCATTTTCTTTAATTTTATTTTCGTACTAATTTAAATTAAAACAGAAAAAAGTCCTGCAAAATAAATATTTTTACACATTTTGACCCCGACGTGATTTGAACACGCAACCTTCTGATCTGGAGTCAGACGCGCTACCGTTGCGCCACGGAGTCGTGCTTGTACGATGGCGTAAATTAGCCATATGAGCACGGGCTGGGTGGTGTGGCGAGTGTGTCGACAATAAAACGTATGTAATGATTGAATAATTGATTTATGATTCTCAGCTAGCAGTTAAATGCAGATAACTAAAAATGGGGTTGTGCAAATATAGAGTTATTCAGATCTTTGATAGCAATTATTTCTGATATGTGCATGTTTTTTAAATTTTTGCAGACAGACTTTGGCAAACTTAGTCATAGAGCGATACTCAGTTGAACAACGCGTAAAAGGGATCCAAACGTTGATGCCGATAAAAAAAAACAAGCATTAAGAGCGATGAGACACATTTTTACCTAAACTACTACGTTACCAAGCAGAACTGCGCCCGCTGCAAAAAAAAACTATGGTAGCCACGAGTGATTGTTTGGTGTGGTTCTTCAGCTGGCGGAGTCATAGGAACGTACTTCTTGGAAAATAATACGTGCAAAGAAAGGTCTATCGTCATACCAGTGTTGCCAAGTTTTGGATTTGAAAAAGCACTAAAACCCAAGAAAAATCGCGTTTTTTTCGGAAAAAGCACAAAAGTTTTATCGGAGTATTTAATGGACTTTATATGCATACAAATTTTTATGTAGGAATGCTGATTTAAATTAATAAAAATTAATGTTTCCTGCTCGATGGTCGAATTTTTTCCGTTTTCTATAAAATCAAATCTATTCATTCAATCGACGATAACACTCTTGTTCTTTTTTTCTAATTTGTAGCTGTGTCTAGCGTTGCCGCTTCGCTTAGATTCAAGTAAAATTTATACATTTTTTCCTAACTGTTTATATGTTAAATTTCTCTTCGTTTTGCATAATTTTTTATAAAACTCCTGTCAAACGAAAGCAAAAGCAAAAAGTGAAGTTTCATGAACTATGTGCAGTCTCTTGTGAACTCGTGAACTGAAGGAACATAAAAAACTTTTCTTTCCAACTGCTTGACACCTGAAGCATAACGAATTTTAATGTGCCTTATTTGAGCGCATAGTGGGAAAAATCTTTTTGTGTCGAAAATTTGTTGGCAAACAAATATCCTGTGATTTATTATTTATCTCATAAAAAGTACTCGAATCGAATCCAGGGCTCGAATCCAAACATCCGTCCACGGATCGAAAACGATATGAAAGAAAATCACGTGATACGTCATAATCCAAAAAATGTATTTTTACGTGACGAATAGTACGATATCGTATGTGACGATTCGGGCCCTGAATGGGACAAGGGTACGATCACGTATGTCATAATCCGAAATATGTCTTTGTTACGTTACGAATAGTACGATCACGTATGTCATAATCCGAAATATGTCTTTGTTACGTTACGAATAGTACGGTATTGTATGTGAAGATTCGAGCCCAGGATATTAAAAAAAAGTACATAACATTTGGTTGCCCGCATAAAATAAATAAATTACCAGGGCAGTTAACAAAAAAAGGACTGTCCCGTACAATGCGAACATCTGCGGTCTTATTGAAATACCCTATATGCGCTTTAGACTTTTCGGTACGCTTCTAAAAAATTTGTGTGAAAACCGAATTCGTGAAAATTAATAGGGTTGCCAGCTGAATAATTACTTGTATTAAATTAGGTATTTTTTAATTATGTACATATTTGAACATGGGCGTAAATTTATTTTGATTCGATATGTATTATTTCTTATGGTTGCCAGCTATGCCATCTTTTTTGCACTTTTTTCTTAGATTTTTTCTTGATTTTTTTGTCTAAAAGTGGGGTACGGTGGAAACTTACTATAATATTTGTGCTTAAGAATTAGTTGAAGATATTTACATACAGACTCACATATGTAAGTATGTATGTACATATGTATTTATAATAAGCGTATGTCACGTGTTTCTACTTATATGTACATACATACGCAACTACAATTTACTTTACAGACAAACATATGTACATATTTGTGCATAAGGAGGCCAATAAATGTGTGCTACTACTTTCAATCTCTCAAAACCATTATAAATACAGCTTAGTTTTCTTAAATTTAAATTATGTATTTATTTATTTTTGTTTATGCTGCAACTTGATTGCATTTTTTCGCCCAGATGTTAGATGTTTGAGAAAAAAAATAAATAAAAAATTGTGAAAAATTGGCAAATTTTTTGTAAAACTGAACAGGTTTGAAAACCTGTTGCTATGATTTGTTCTGAGCTGTTTGTAAATCTTTGGCAATTCCAGTTTTGTTATTGTTTTGGAGTTTATATCGTCTGGGTGTTTGTTTTTGTAAACGTGTCACACAAAACCGATAATATTTGGTTACGAATTCCAGTTTAAAATGAAAGTTCCTTGCCTTCAAATGCTGGCAAGTCAATGTATAAATAAAAGTTAAAATTTTGCT